CCTGAGCCCGTCTGACCGAGTTTTCCTGTGCAACCCCGCTTCACCAGCCAGTGGTTTCGCCCCTTACCGGTCAGGCTGAAGAATTTGTTGTTAACGGACTTCCGAAAAGTTCAATTTTCCGTGTTCTGGCTGTGTTTTCTGTTGCTAATATTTAGTTGTCTCTAAACTTGGTTGTGTGAGAAGGCACGGCATATCCACCTATCGGTTTTCAATTTCTTGCTCACTCTCCTCTCCTCTAGCACACCAGTGATGCAAATGTTGTATGCTTCAAGTTGTCCCAGAGGCTTCATCTACTCTACTGTTGATTCCCTGTAAATTATTCTTCATTTCAGTTGGTTCCTTCATTTCTGACTGGTTCTTTTTTATGGTTCCATGTCTTTTTTCACCTGTTGAAGCTGTAAGTTCAACTTCTCTTCCCTTAAGTTCATGGAGCATCCTTATAACCAGTATTTTGAATTCTGCACATAGTAGGTTGCTTGTCTCCATTTTGTTCAGTTTTGTATTTTTGTTCTTTATCTCCACATTTTGAGAGCCTCTGTGTATTTGGTAGAATGGTCTAATGTAGGTGTCCTGTGTCTAGTGGCACAGCCTCCCTGATCATCCAAGCTGGGCATTCCAAGTGCGCCCCCCACCCTCATGTGGGCTGTGTACACCCTCCTGTTGTAGTTGAGCCCTGACTGCTGTGAACAGGTCAGTGGAAGGGATTTACCCCTAGGCTGATCAGTATGAGTACTGGCTGTGATCACCATGGAGGGTAAGCTGCACAGGGGCCCACTCCATGGAGCAGGACTTATTTCAGTGGGGGTCTGTGCTTGTTGAGTCTACCCCTTGAGTGTGTAGCTGTGGAGGTGGTTGGGTGGTGCTTCAGTCACTCAGTGGGTTGTGCTCCACCAGTCACTCAGTGGGTTGTGCTCAGTCACAATCCATCAGTCACAATCTGCCAGTCACAATCCGCCAGTCACTCAGTGGGTTGTGCTCAGTAGGTCGCTCACTGGGTCCACCCGTTGCAACCCCACATCTGGGATTTGCACTCCTGAGTTCATCTGATCGAGTTTTTCTGTGCAACCCCACTCCGCCAGCTGCTGGTTTTGCCCCTCTTACCAGTCAGGCTGAAGAATTCGTTGTTATCAGACTTCCGAAAAGTTCAATTTTCTGTGTTTTCTGTTGCTAATATTTTGTTGTCTCTAAACTTGGTTGTGTGAGAAAGCACAGCGTCTCCACCTATGCCTCCATCTTGGCGGAAGTCCTATTATATTATTATATATGATAATATAAAGAAATGTAAAAATTTGTTTCAATACCATTATCCCTCAGACTTACTAGCCTAACTGCATGCGACTCCCTTCTGTTACTTAAACATGGCAATCCTTTCCCTGCTTCAGTATCTTGAATTTACATGTTTCCTCTACCTAGAGTGCTTTTTCCCCCAACTCTCCCAATATGCATGGCTCCTTCATCTCTCAGCTCCAATTTAGTATTCTTTGGCAGGCCTCCCACATGTAAATACATAACTGCTCTCTATCAGATCATTTTTTGTATTCTCTTTGTGCCGCCTAACACAGTTGGGATTAATTTGCCTATTGGCTTGCATAATAATTAACTAATTTTCTCAGAAAATTATAAATTCTGTGACTAACTTGTTCACCATTGTATCACTATTACAAAGCAGTATGCCTGCACTAGTAAATATTTTCTATGTGAATGGATGAAGAATAAAATATAGCTCAGAGAACCTTTCAAAATTTCCACTGTTAAGGAGAAAGAGACTGAAGTTTGAGGTGGAAATACTGATTGTTTCAAGTAATAAGAAAATCGTAAAGTTAAAAAAATGCATGCACATGAAGATATTGTAATTCCTAGGTGTATTAAGAAATTATATTTGAATTTAGGCACTGAGGGCTTGTAGTTAGAACTAGAACTCTCCTCTAGAACGATTAAGGGGGTTATATTTGAAGTATGCAGGAGTATCTCATAGTGTATAAACCAAGAGGGCTTATAAGTTTCCGGGGGACTTGGAACTAGGTACTGAAAAGCTTTGTGGGTCCCAGGCAGCTTCTCCATGTATCTTGTTTTTTGTGCAGATTTTTTTCTGCTTCACAATCATGTGGAAAGCAGATGGGTTACTCTGTAGCTCCTGATTTTACTTTTATTGGGTTGGCCAAAAAGTCTGTATGGTTTTTTCCATAAAATAAAACACATGTTTTTCATTTTCACCAATAACTTTATTGATTTGGGTATTTTGAGTATGCCAGCTTTCTCCCTCCTGTAATGTTGATTGCTCTCAATTAGTGTCTCAATTTGATTGCTATCAACTTAAACTGGTCTACTTGACTGTTAAGCATCATTCAGCAAGAAATCTCCAGCACGAAACTTTGTAAACCAGTTTTGGCACACTCGATCAGTCACCTCACCTTCTCCATACACTGCACAGATTTTTTTTGCATTTCAGTTTTGTTTTTTACTTTTCTTGATATAATAAAGCATAATATAACAAAAATGTTGTGTATTTTCTTCCTTCTTCTGTATTAAAATGGCTACACAGAAATTTGCCAGTTTTGGTAAGTTTTTTTTTAATGCATACTGATATGACAGCTGTCACAATACAATCTAAAAAATTGTTTTGAATGAAGTTAAAGACAACTAAGTGCTACTAGAGCCATCTTACAGAAAAAACGAAATGAACTTTTTGGCCAACTGGATATTTTTAAGAGATCAGTAGCATTTCCAAATTCCCAGCAAAGAGAATCTAATTGCCCAGATGGAATTTGATTCATTCACTTGTAGCCTGGTGGACTGGTTTGAAAACTAGAACTAGGAATGCCTGAGCTTATTTCAGAGGGAGTGGGAACAGTTAAAGCAGGTGATTTGTGTTCTGGGTCGGCACACAAAGGTACTCACTACCAAATGTATGTTCACTAGCCTGGAGAGATATATTACTTAGTTTAAAAAGTAGGTGATAAAACTTCATGTGTACTATGATACTATTTTAATACAAGTGGATATATAAATATGTACTTAACACTTAAAAATCTGGAAATATGGATACAAAAATGCTAGCCGTGGCTACCTCTGTATGATAATATAGGGTTTTTATTTTTTCTTCACACCTTTGTTTTAATTTTATGCATTTGTGAATCTGCATTTATTTTTTAAACCCTTTAGTATGAAAAAGTTCAAACATATGACAGTACCATTTCCAGCTTATTAAAGCATAGCCAATCTTTATCACCCATTAATTCCCTTTTCTTTATCTAAATATTATACAATAAACATGTTATAATTAGAAAATAAAGGTGAACTTTTTAATATAATGTTTGGGGTATCTAGCTAATAATTTGAGAAAAAAATTAAATTTATACTTAGTAGTCGTGCCCAAATAGATTAGAGATGAATTAGAGATTCATGTATTTAAAAAAAGAATGAGTAGTAGAAGAAAATAAAGCAAACTTACTTGAAATCCAGTGTTAGGACGTTAAATAACATGCAGCAACAAAATCTACTATACTATATATTAATATAAAAATCATGGTATACAAACTTAAAATACAAGTGAGAAACCAGAAAAAAGTTACATTTTGTCAAAAGTCAGATATCTATGAGTATGAATGGGCAACAGATGCATTAACAGGCAAGTCCTCAAAGAAGAAATTTGATTCCTCAAAGAAGACCAGTAAACAAAAGAAAATTTTACTCAAGTAACTGAAGACACACAAAATGATAGATGATTTGTCTCTTAAGAAATTAATAGAGGATATGAAGAGACAGTCACTCTTATAAGCTGTCAGAAGTGTAAACTGGCAAATCCTTTCTTGAGAACAATCCATATGAAAACCTTAGAATTTGGAATACCTTTGGCCTAATAATCACACTTACAGAAATTCATCATGACTATGTGTTAAGATGTAACTAAAAGTATATTTATCCTGGTACTACTATTTGTAATAGTGAAAAGTAGAAAAACCCAACAAGCCCCAAAATAGAGTATTGCTATAATAATAATTTTAAAGATTTTGGTCTATCTATGCAATGTCATATTATGCAGATTTTTCAATAATGTAGAGTAATAATAACGTAAAAATGTACTTGACATGCTAAGTAAAAATGAAACAAATTGAAAACAAATGTTAACTTTATTTTGGGGTATTGAGATTATGGCTCCTGTTTATTTAATTAGTTTATCTGTATATTTTGTAATAAGACAACAAAGCTATTTTAAAAATATGGATTGGTTTTAAGCAACAGTATAGAACGAAGATGCTTTAATTCTACCTAATGATGCAATATTTATACAGATATAATGACTTGTTCTAAAGTTCGCTGGAAATTAAAAAAACCTGTCAAATGAAAGAAAATAAGGAAGTGGGTGAGGGCATGTGAATTAGATATTGACCTGAAGTAAGCAAAACTAAAAATAGTTTAGTTAATATTTTATTATTGAAAACTTAGTCATAAGAGACCTCTGTTTTATTACAGTTTTGAATTTGAATTTATTAATATAGGACATGTTTATTAGGCAAGAAGGTCTGTGCTATTGTGGTTTTAAGAATTAGAATTATTACTGAGGGAGTTAAAAATTTATACAACTGTATCTAAATGCCTTTTTGTTTGGGGAAGAGATAGCTATGCAAGAAAACTAAGGTGTTGAAAATCAATCAGAGATATTGACTATGACAGACCTGTATCCATTTCTGTGTGCTTATTATGTCATCTTTGCCTATAGATATCAAAATGAAAATTTGCTGCTCTGAAAAGCAGTTGTTTATAATAAATTGTGACTATTTAGGAGACCAAGAAATCTTTAGAAAAAATTTTATTAAAATCATCTCTGGCATCCTTACTGTTGCCTTAATATATTCATGTTTTGTTCCTTTATACCCAAATTCCTTAGTGTGATAAAAATTATGGTTTAACTGATTAAATTAGGTCAGTCTGTTTAATCTGATTCTGAGCCAAAATTATTTCCTTTTTGATAACTTTTTGTTTTTATCTGTTTGTTTAAGATTATATTTGGGAATTTAAATATCTTTTCGTTCAGCGCAATTGCATCCTAGAAAATCTAGAATTGCATACAACACCTTGGTCATCCTGTGAGTGCCTGTTTGATGATGATAAAAGAGCAATAACATTTAAAGCAAAATTTCAAAAAAGCATGCCCTCTTTTGTGAAGATATCAGACTTAGCAACACACTTGGAGGATAAATGTTCAGGTAAGATTTTTATATGCATAAGATTTTTCTAGTTTTAAGGTTTTACTTATTTATTTTTTGAGAGAGGGCAGGGTAGGAGGGAGACAGGGAAAGAAACATCGGTGTATGAGAGAAACATCTATCTGTTGCTTCTCCCACATGCCACAATGAGGGACCAAACCCCAGCACGTAACCTAGTTAGGTATCCTGACTGGAGATTGAACCGGTGACCTTTTGCTTTGCAGTATTACCCAGCCATCTGAGCCACACTGGTCAGGGTGATATTGCTAGTTTTTTTTAAGTATATTTTATTGATTATGATATTACAGTTGTCCCATTTTTCCCCCTTTATTCCCCTCTGCCCTGTAACCCCATCTCCCACCAGCATTCCTGCCCCGCTTAGTTCATGCCCCTGGGTTGTACATATTAAGTTCCTTGGCTTCTTCATTTCCTATATATTCTTAACCTCCCCCTATTTTCTATCTACCAATTATTCTTCTTATTTCCTCTGTCTTTCCCCCATTCTTACCCACCTCTCTACTGATAACCCTCCATGTGATCTCCATTTTTATGATTTTGTTCCTGTTCTAGTTGTTTGCTCAGTTTATTTTTGTTTTTTGTTTTTTTAGGTTCAGTCATTGATAGTTATGAGTTGCTTGTCATTTTACTGTTTCTATTTTTGATCATCAGCTTTTCTTTAATAACTCCCTTTAACATTTCATATAATAAGGGTTTGGTGATAGAGAACTCCTTTTAACTTTCCTTTATCTGGAAAGCAATTAATCTGCCCTTCCAATTTAAATGACATCTTTTCTGGGCAGTATAATCTTGGATGTAGGTCCTTGCCTTTCAGGATGTAGAATACTTCTTTCTAGCCTCTTCTTGCCTGCAAGGTTTCTTTTGAGAAATCAGCTGATAGTCTTATGGGAACTTTTTGTAGGTGACTATGTCCTTTTCTCTTGCTGCTTTTAAGATTCTCTCCTTATCTTTAATATTGGATAATGTAATTATGATGTGCCTTGGTGTGAGCTTCCTTGGGTCCAACTTGTTTGGGACTCCCTGAGCTTCCTGGACTTCCTAGAAGTCTATTTCCTTTGCCAGATTGGGGAAGTTATTTTTCATTATGTTTTCAAATAAGTTTTCAATTTCTTGCTCTTCCTCTTCTTTTTCTGGTACCCCTATGATTCAGATGTAGCATTTGAAGTTGTCCCAGAGGTTCCTAAGCCTCTCCTCACTTTTTTGAATTCTTGTTTTATCATTCTGTTGTGGTCGAATGTTTATTCCTTCTGCTCCAAATTATTGATTTGAGTCCGGGTTTCCTTCCTGCCACTGTTGGTTCCCTGTATATTTCTCTTCATCTCACTTTGCATACCCTTCACTTTTACCATTGTATTGTGACCATACTTAACCACTTCTGTGAGCATCCTGATAACCATTGTTTTGAACTCTACCTCTTATGGATTGGCTATCTCTTCATCACTTAGTTCTATATTTGGAGCTGTGATCTGTTCTTTCATTAGGGTCATATGTTTTTGGTTTCAGTGCAGCTATTACATTGTAAGGGGCAGAATTTTTGGTATTCACCAGGGTGGGGCAACCCAGGTCACTGTGTTGTGGTACTGCATGTGGGGGAGGGGTCAGAGAGAGAACAATGTCACTTGCTTGCCTCTTGGACAGTTTTCGGTCACTTTCCCTGCTACCGGCAAACAAATTTGGCCCTTCTGGTTTTGATTCCTGGGTGGGTGGGTTTATGTATGTTCTAAGATCCTGTGGGTCTCTCCAATAAACTCTGCTATGAGTCTGGGAGTTTCCCCCACCACCTCAATCCCTGCCGGTTTTTAGTGCAAGAGGTTTTGAGGCTTTATTTCCCTGCTCTGGAGCCCTGGGTTGCCCCATCCATCTTGTTCCCCAGTTGTTCTCCCTGGTTTATCTGTACGCAAATATGGGACTGCCAGCTGCTACCTCACCCACCTAGTCCTCCAGCTTCAGCCTTGCCACAGGTCCTCTCCACCCCTCCTATTTGTCTGAATGAATGTTTCTTCTTTAATTCCTTGGTTGTTGGACTTCCATACAGTTTGATTTTCTGGCAGTTCTGGTTATTTTTTGTTTTTAAATTTGTTTTTGTCCTTCTTTTTAGCATGGAGGCAAAGTGTATGTATGTATGTTTCCATCTTCAGTATTGCTACTTTAAAAAAAGATTTTATTTAGTTTTCCTTTTTTTAAAAACTGTTGTTCAAGTACAATTATCTCCATTCTGCCCCCTGCCACTCCCATCCACCCAAGCCATCCCCACCTTCCATCTTGGATCTTGCCCCTTTTTGGCTTTGTCCATGTGACCTTTATACATGTTTCTTGACAACCCATCCCTCTTTCCCCCTATTATGCCCTCCCACCTTCCTTCTGGTTACTGTCAGTCCATTCTTTATTTCAGTGTCTTGTTATATTTTGCTCTCTTGTTTGTTTTGTTGATTAGGTTTCACTTGAAGGTGAGATCATATGGTTTTTGTCTTTCATGGCCTGGCTTATTTCACTCAGCATAATGCTCTCCAAACCCATGTGTGCTGCCGTAAAGGGTAGGAGGTCCTTCTTCCTTTCCGCTGCATAGTATTCCACTGTGACAATATATCACAGTTTTTTTATCCACTCATTTACTAATGGGCACTTAGGTTGCTTCCCGTACTTGGCTATTGTCAGTTGTGCTGCTATGAACATTGGAGTGCATAGGTTCTTTTGGATTGGTGTTTCAGGATTCTTAGGGTATAATCCCAGCAGTGGAATTCCTGGGTTGAAAGGCAGTTCCATTTTTAGTTTTCTGAGGAAATCCCACAATGTTTTCTACAGTGGCTGCACTAGTTTGCGCTCCCACCAACAGTGTAGAGGGTTCTCTTTGCTCTGTAACCTAGCTAGTACTTGTTGTTTGTTATTTTGTTTATGATGGCCATTCTGACTGGTGTGAAGTGGTATTTCATTATGGTTTTAATTTGCATCTCTCTGGTGGCAAGTGATGCTGAGCATCTTTTCATATTCCTCAGGCCCCTTCATATGTCCTCCTTGGAGAAATGTCTGTTCAGGTCCTTTGCCCATTTTTTAATTGGATTGTTTGTCTTCCTGGAGTGGAGTCATGTGAGTTCTTTATATATTTTTGAGATCAAACCCTTTTTGAGTTGTCTTTTGGAAATATATTTTCCCATGTGATTGGTTCCCTGTTCATTTTGCTGATGTTTTCTTTAACCATGCAAAAGCTTTTTATTTTGATAAGATATCATTTATTTATTCTTTCCTTTATGTTTCTTGCTTTAGGGGACAAATCAGTGAAAATATTGCTGCATGGAATGTCTGAGACTTTTCTGCCTATGTTCTCCTCTAGGACTTTTATGGGGTTGTGACTTACATTTAAGTCTTTATCCATCTTGAGTTTATTTTTGTATATAGTGTAAGTTGGTGGTCAGGTTTCATTTTTGTGCATGTAGCTGTCCAGTTCTCCCAACACCATTTGTTGAAGAGGCTATTTTTACTCCATTTTATGTTACTGCCCCTTCGTTGAATATTAATTGCCTGTAGAGACTTGGGTTTATTTCTGGGCTCTCTGTTCTGTTCCATTGATTTATGTGTCTGTTCTTATTCCAGTACAAGACTGTTTTGATTACTGTGGCCTTGTAATGTAGTTTGATGTCAGGTATTGTGATCCCTCCTACTTTGTTCTTCTTTCTCAAAATTGCAGCTGCTATTCGGGGTCATTTATGGTTCCATATAAATTTTTGAAATGTTTGTTGCATTTTTGTGAAATATGTCATTGGTACTTTAATAGGGAGTGTATTGAATTTATAAATTGCTTTGGGTAGTGTGGACATTTTGATGATGTTAATTCTTCCTATCCTTGAGCACGTTATGTACTTCCATTTGTTTGTGTCTTCCTTAATTTCTTTCTTCAGTGTTGTGTAGTTTTCTGAGTATATGTCTTTTACTTCCTTGGTTAGGTTTATTCACAGGTACTTTATCTTTCTTGTTGCTATGTCAAGTGGGATTTTTTTTCTGATTTCTGTTTCTGATATTTCGTTGTTGGTATACAAAATGCCTTTGGTTTCTGAACATTGACTTTCTATCCCACTGCTTTGCCAAATTTACTGATTAGGTTGAGTAGTTTTTTGGTGGAGTCTATAGGGTTATCTATGTACAGTATCATGTCATCTGCAAACAACAACAGTTTTGTTTTCTCTTTTCCAATTTGGATACCTTTTATTTCTTTGTTTCTTGTCTGATTGCTGTGGCAGGACTTCCAATACTATGTTGAAAGAAGTGGTGAAAGCAATATTGCTAGTTTTAATACAAGTAAAGGAGGTACAATTTGTTGGGGAAGTATATATAAAAGTGAATTATAGATCTTTGTAAATATCTGAACCAGATATTGGCATCTTCTTAGCTTTTTGCCTACAGTCTTTTGATGTTCACTTGTAATACTTGTTTATTTGTAATTACTAGAAGCTAATCTTTTAATTCAATCTGCTTTCTAATACTGGGGATTAGTTTGAATTTTCTGTGACTTGATATACTTGGAATGATACAGTATGACTATTGTTTTGTTTGGCATCTTTAGGAAATTCTTTTGAGATGTCCCTGCTGTTGTGCATATCAGCAATTTATAGTCATTTTTCTTCTATGGATACATTAAGATTTTAAAATTTATTCATGTGTTGATAGATATTTGAGTTATTTTTTATCAGTTCTTGGCTGTTATTTACTAGCTTCCATAAATATTCATGTATAAGGCATTATATGGACAGTCTTTCCTTTCTTATGAGTAAATATCTAGGAATTGAATAAATAGCTAGGTTATATGGTGATGTTTTAACTTCTTAAGAAACTGCCATACTATTTTAGAGAGTGGTTGTACCATCTGTAGTGATATTGGTATTACCTGGTATTGCTAATTTATGTTTTCTACCTGTTTTTTTCCTGGTTAATTTGGCTAGAGGTTTATTGATTTTATTGATGTTTTCAGATTGATTTCCCCCCTATTTTCC